TTTTTTGAGGTGGTTCAAGACCAGGCGCTCAAAGGACTTCATGGCTACTGATGTCAGCGCCACAGGCCTGTAGTCATTTAGTCAAGTGATCTTTGGTTTTTTAGGGACTGGGACAATAACGGAGGATTTGAAGCAAGTTGGAACATGGCATGAGTCCAGAGAGGTGTTAAAGATCTTTGTGAAGACAGGGCTCAGCTCCTCTGCACAGTGTCTCAGGTCCAGGTGCCTTGTGGATGTCTAGCTTCTTGAACATCTTATTAACATCCTCTTCCAGGACTGTTAGAGGTGAGTTGGAGGAGGGGGGTGGGGGCTTTTGTGAAGAGACTTCTCGGGGCAGGGAGGTGTGAATGAAGAAGAGGAAGAAGAAGAAAGTATCATTTCTACAGCGCCTCTCAAGATAAAAATAGCGAGGCGCTTCAGAAAAACTAAAAATGTAAAAATATAAAAAAGCATTTAGAAAATGTTTAAGAATATATTTAAAATGAGCAAAAATAGGCAATTGTGATTAAAAACATGTTAAGAAAGAGAAAGTCAACACGAAAGAGGGAAATCAGTGGATCCTGAGGAAGGTGGAATTGGTGGGGAGAGCAGAATAAAGAGAGAGTGGTGAAGAAGGTCATACAAAAGCCAGCTTGAACAAGTGAGTCTTCAGCTGCTTTTTAAAGGAGACCACTGAGTCCACTGATCTCAGGCTCAGGGGGAGAGAGTTCCAGAGTCTGGGGGCCACAGCAGCAAATGATCTGTCACCTATGGTCTTTAGCCTGGTGCGCTGCACAACCAGTAGGCTTTGGTCACTGGACCTAAGGGAGCTGCTGGGGGTGTAGGGACTAAGAAGATCACCAATGTAAGATGGTGCTTGTCCATGTAAGGCCCTATAGACCAGAACCAGAATCTTGAAATGAACCCTGAAGTTGACTGGCAGCCAGTGAAGCTGGAGGAGAAGCGGGTTGATGTGGGTGTGTTTGGAATGACCTTGTTGTGTAGATCTAGCTGGTGGTGATGTCCTGGTTGATTGATGGATCATCAAAGCGACAGTAGAAAGGGTATCTGCAGGTTTAAAGGAGCCAAATTTAAGACTTTTTAAGACCTTTTTTAAGGCCACTTGACCAAATTTAAGCTATTTTTAAAATTTAATTAAAGCTATAATTTCCACCTAATGCCTGGAACAGGTGCTAACCACGTCGCGAACGTGGGATTAGCCATCCAGTTACCATTAAACTTGCACTTCCCCATGGCGCAAGCTCCCACTAGCTTAACCAGCTACTGTGCTCATCTAAAAATAGCCCCCTTTCACAACCAACTGAATGTGTACAGTTCCGCTTATGTCAATATCGTACACAAAAAATGCTGAACACTAACTAGAAATTCACAAAAATTTTATAGAAATAAAAAATATTTTGTTTAATGGGTCTTTGGTCATTTAAGACATTTGGAAACTGTATTTAAGGATTATTTGTCATTTTTAAGGATTTTTAAGGCCTTAAATTAGGAAAAGCTAATTTAAGACGTTTTAAGACTTTTTAAGGACCCGCGGATACCCTGAGTAGAACTCATTAGGTCTGTTTGCTAACTGCAGGTCTTCCGTTGACTGAGGGGTTTTTGGCTTGTGGTTGGTTATTTGCTTAAGCCCCCTCCAAACAGAGCCTGAGTCGTTAGCTGAGAATTGTTTTTTCAACCTCTCAGAGTACTTGGATTTAGCACTTTTGACCTCCCTGTTGAACCTGTATTTTGCATTTTTGTAGCTCTCATTGTCTCTGTTTTTGAATGCGGTTCCTTTCTCCTGAGCTGACTGAGTTTAGCTGTGAACATGGTTTGTCGTAACTGAAGCACAGCCTGGAGCGTGTTGGAACAATGTTGTCCTCGCAGTGCTTAATGTAGGACGTGACCGTGTCCGTGTACTCACCCAGGATGTCTGTGGCTGAACCGAACACATCCCAGTCTGTTGATTCAAAACAGGAGTGAAGTTCTTCCACATCTTGTTTAGTCCACTTTTTGGATGTCCTGACCACAGGTTTGGAGAGCTTTAATCTCTGCCTGTATGCAGCGATCAGATGGATCATGACGTAATCCGATAGTCCAAGCGCAGCATGCGGCATTGCATGATAGGCTGCCTTTATTGCTGTGTAACAGTGATCCAGCGTGTTGTTTTCCCTGGTCGGGCAGTCAATTAATTGTCTGTATTTCGGTAGTTCTTTGCTCAGATTCCCCTTATTAAAGTCGCCAAGGGCAAAAATCAGGGAGTCGGGGTGTTTTTGCACCACACACAGAATTATATCTGCAAGTGCGTGCTGTGCCGCCTGCGCGTCAGCGCTCTGCGGGATGCAAACAGCGGCCAGAATGAATGAGGAGAATTCACGGGGAGAGTTAAAGGGCTTGCATTTTCAACATTTGTATGATTCAACATTTATAATGCATTTGGTTTATATTAATTACCTACATGATAATAATCTGTAGTAATGTGTTGTGTACATTTAACAAGTTCATTCTGTAGCTTAAAACATACATGAAACCATCTATAGTTAACATGTACGTCCTGAAAGCTTCTACAATAAACAAAATTACTTTACCTGAAAACGGTTGTGAACAAACGCTGCTGATGGAGGTGAAGCAGCTGTAGCAGCTCCTTAAATATTCCTGCTTGATTTTCACTAGCTTTAGCATTATTCCTTTGCGTGTAGCTTCAGCCACGGCTGTGACGGTACCTGCGGACCATCGTAGAGGTGAAGGCCAGACTGTCCGAATTCAGAGCCGCTGGGTTCTGGTTTTAGCGGTCGAACAAGGACCCAGCCTTGCTAGACCGGCAATGACCCGTACTCACAAGCATCCTGCTCCTGAATTCGGACACAGTTGAATCAAAGACGTTTTCTGCAGGTAAACAAGCACTGTGGGAAAATGTGATAAAGACCTCTGTCTGAAAGTGACCAATCACATTAGGGAAGGTGGCTCCTTGGAACCCGCCCCCAAAACTGTCAAAAGTGAAACTTGTCCAGTAGAGCGGAATTTCCACTCGAGAGCAGGGCAGGCTGCGCGGGCGTGTTAACAGTTCCACGCGCATATTACCAACACTTAAGAGCGACAGGAACAATTGTCTGTGCGTGACTGGATACAATCTGCTCTCGGGTCTTTGTAAACACGCGCAAGGTGCTTTTTCGCACTCGCGGATAGTTTAAAACACGCGCGGAGGACTTTTTGAGCACTAGTGGATGGGAACTTAACCTTTCACGGACGTTTAATTATCCTCTTGCGATAGTGCGTGCTCTCGCGAGACCTTATTGACATAAAATTGACTCCATATTAGGTGCCTACCTCCATTTGACTAGCATTTGTATTAACAGGTTACAAAGTTAATTAAAGTTGCTGATAAGCGATCATCTCGTCTTTATTATTCGATGGCACATAGCTGATCACACTTCAGACTAGAAGCTAATGATGGTATATTAGAGCATCCTGGTGCAATAAGCTAAACTTTTATGAATGACTCGATTAGTTGACTACTAACATAGTCGTTTGTGACAGCCCTACATTAAAGATAAGTTTGTATTTATTTATTTAGAGGATTTGATTGTGCAGTGACATCTGTTGTTTGTTTATTGTGACTTTGCTGCGCTTAGCTCATACCGGGCTGTGAATTACGGGACACAGCATTCCAATAGGATATATATTGCAGTCCCTGGGAAAGCAGAGCAAGGTGTATGATTTACTGCTCTTGTGGTTAAAATGTGTTTACTTTCTTTTTGTTTTGTTGTAACCATTGTTGTTCATTTTGACTGTTCATGCAGTTTTCACCTCATCACGAGATCAGACGAATGAAAGTAAAACATCTGCATCAGTCGAAGCTCTCTCATCACGTTTTCCATCTTCAATCCTGGGACTGTTACACACTAAAACTTGAAAGAAGTGCTATTACTTTGTTAAAGAACATTTCCTTTTACAGACGAGGCATTATTGTTTATCATTTTTGTATTTGGTGACTTATCTGAAGATTGCTATTTCACTACTCATTATAACCACACAGAGAAGGCATACCTTAAAAGGTATAGTGGCAGATGTTTCTGAATTTCAGGGAAGAACCGTCCGCTCCTCGTTTTGGGGAAAAAAAATGCGTATGAGAAAGAACGCCCAGTTATCCTCATTACAAGTAGCTGCTGGCCTTGCAGCACCCAACCTTCTTCTAGCAGTAGTCTGAAATTAAATTCTCCAAATAGCATGCTGAACTTTGGCTTACCTGTCGAGCAGAAAATAGAGGTGTCTTTGGAGAGCCCAACCTTCGCTTTGCATGCGCAGGAAGTAAAAACTACCCAGCAACGCACGACCACGCACGACGACGGCCTTGTGTGAATGGTTCACCAGAAAGATTGACAGTTAAAACGGACCAATGGTTCAGATGATCCATCCGGAAGAAAGAGTTTCATGCTTTTTTGTTGAACAACCAAAAACTACTGAGAAAGATCTGCTCCAAAGCTACATACAAATGAGCAGAAACGAAAGATTATATTAAATCCATTTCATATGACTGCTCTCCTTTATGTTTAGTTACGTGGATTAGAAACAACAGAATTTGTATGTAGTAAAACTATCTCTTGAGTTTGTTTATATCCAGTAAAACTGGAATGGATAACTGTTATTTGGTTATAGATCTTTTTCTCATACAGATGAGCTATGTAACGTAGTAACGTAGTAATGTAATGCTGCTTTACATCTGGAGTTTACTTCAAAGAAGACTTAAGTAACAGTTATCAGTTTCATTAAAGTCCATCAGGATCGGGTCAATCTTATTGGTAAATCAAACTATGGTCACCCTATGTTGAGGAGCTCATTAATGTCGCCATGACTACTGGTCAAATTCGAGAAACCGATTCCAAACGACTCTAAAGATCAAGTTTTAGAAACCATCTCGGTTAACTGGACGTTACGGTGAGCGCAGACGACCGCGAGCTCATCTAACCGATGCTCTCTTGGACTCAGAAACTGTTAGCTACATTTAGCTAAAGTTTACTTACCTCAACTTCCGGGTTTTGTGAGTTCAAAGATACTTTTTCGGCTGCGCTGAAAATTTCCAACACCACCGCGTTGGCCAGGCTGTTCACGATGAGCACTACCTCATTCTTAAACCCAATCGCCATGTTTAACAGCTAAATAGCGTGTTAGCTTAGCACAAAACAACTGGAAATCGAAACAGGAAGTGACATCACTGTCCTCGCCAAGCTGCTGGTGGGAGCTTTTCAGGTGTTTTAAGCCGAAAGAATGTTCAGTTCTGTGTCAGGTTGAAGTTTCATGTATTGCTTTTAAAAATATTGGTGCTTTTTTTTAAATTTATTAATATTGTTGTTTAATTTGAGCATGCAGCTCTGTACAATGTGGACGAAAAGGACCGCCAAAAAGCAAGCAAAACAATATTATAAATAGCCAAATATAGGTATTCTACTGTTTTTTGTCTTGCTTCCTACCAAATACTTATTTTCCACCAATAATTAATAAATACATTCTTTAAGAATCACACCGTGATTTTCTGGACTTAATTTTTTTATTTTGTCTCATGATTGAGGTAATGAAAGTTACAAACCACTCGTTTTTTTATAATGGGAGAAGTTGCACAATTGGTGGCTGACTAAATACGTTTTCCCTTCAGCTTATTTCTTTATGATTTATGATTAATTTTGACTCCTACTATCTGTCAAAAAGTTTTGATATAGCAAGGACAGTTGGTGTATTTTATTTTATTTTTTACAATATTTCTTCTTTGGACAATTTTTATTTTACAACATGATGCTTAATAAAATCGTCATATGCACCATTACCATTTGCTTTTTGATATATTCAATTCAATTCAAGTTTATCTATATAGCACCAAATCACGGTAAGAGTCATCTCAAGGCACTTCACACAGTAAACATTCCAATACAGGTCAGTTCATTAAGCCAATCAGTAACAAGTTTCCTATATAAGATACCCAGCAGGTTGACTAGTGTCAGAGTCTTTACAGCAATCCTTAAACTAAGCAAGCATTTAGTGACAGTGGAGAGGAAAACTCCCTTTTAACAGGAAGAAACCTCCAGAGGATCCTGGCTCAGTATAAAGGCTGATTTATGCTTCTCCGTCTGCGTCAGTGCGGAGACACGCAACGCCATTATCCGTTGTGGCGTAGGGCCCCGGCAGGCACGCAAGTACGTACGGAGTCGAACCCACTTTTTTAAACATCCATCGAACGAGACGGATTACGCAAGCTAGTGATTGGTTTGTCCAGAAACCTGAGATCACTTCCGTCATGACGCAATGTCCTGTAAATTTGTCAACAGTGCCGGAGTCGTGTGTAGAAAGAAGTAGTAGATATGGACCAGTTCGAGGAATGTCTAGCGGAGGAAGTACGGAAATACGAACATTTATATAATACGTCTTTAAAGAATTATAAAGATGCCCAGGTCATTTACAACTCCTGGAAGGAAATTGCCCGTATTTTGGAAGTGGATGTGGAGCAATGCATGAAGAAGTGGAGGAGCATGCGGGACAAATTTGTCCGAATGATAAAAACCTTGAGGGGCACCAGTGGCGATCCAGGTGGCAAAAAGGTTCCGGCTTTTTATGTTATGCTTTCGTGGTTGGAGCCGCACATAAAGCATAGACCCACATCTTCAAATTTCAAGGTAACTACTTTATCACGCTGTGTTTGTACTTCCTGTTTGTCTGTGCTACCAGCTACCAGCTACACATGGCGCTAACAAGCTGCAGTTCTAGTTAAAAGCTTTCATCAAAGTCAACCAAATTCATCTCATTATACTACTGTGATTACCTAAACCTATTAATAACTATATTTGCATTCTGTTTTTACCAGTGTATGTAAGTAATAAAGAGATAACTATGTGCCTGTGTTTGTTGAACAACAGGCCCCAACTGAACCACCTCAGGACCAGGCCTCATGTGGATCCTCACAGGATGAGGCCCCATCACAACTTCAGGGGTCTTCACTGCCTGCCTCTCAACAACAGCAGGATGTTGAGCGCCTTGTTTGGTTGTAATGCCTTGTGAATGCGCTTTATAAATAAAATTGGATTGGATTGGATTGGATTGGAGTCCTCACCGGATCCTGTGTCATCACATTCCACATCAGCTTCATCAAATTCATCTCCATCTCCATCTCTCCATGCCTCCCTTGACCGAGAATCCGTTTCAACGGATCAACAAACAGCCGATGAGTTGCTAGAGTCCACCAGCACACCACGACCTGCTCTCAAAAAGAGGCGGCGCCAGCAGCATTTGGATGACTGCTTTTCTGAACAGATGACCCGAATTGACAAACGTAGGAAGGAGCTCAGTGAGATACTGCAGAAGGATGATGAGTATGACAGGTTTGAGCAGGTTCTAGCAGACCTACTGAGGAAGGTCCCTGAACAGAAGCAGGTGGTGGCCAGGCGCAACCTTTTAGCATGTGTGTGCGACTTTCTGGAGAATTGAAATGTGTTTGTGTTGAAAGATTTTTTATTTGCATGTTTTTATTTTTATTCCTAGAAGTGTTTCATTTGCATGTTTCTTTTCCATTAAAGTGAAGTCTGTTTTCTTCCATTTACAGTTTTGTTTGTCATTTTCAGTTTTTTGGCATCAGTTTGCACACAGTATTATTTCGCACTCATTGACTAGGCTCCCCAAAGCAGATAAACACAGAGTCTTGAAAAAAAAATTAATACCCCAAGATAATTTCAGGTTTTTAGTTGAGATTTTTTTATGAACAAGGCACTAGAAAATAGACATGGTAAACAGCAAAAAAAAAAAAAAAAAAAAAAGAACACTACCACCAGGCTGGCTCGCCAAATATGTAGCGTAATGGTTGTTGGCTCTTTTATGAAAGATGAACCATTCTACGTAATAATCTGGAAAATTAATTTTAACAAATTAATAACCAAATGTTATAGAGATAAGAAGACTCAAAGGTTGTTTTCATCAATAAACTGACGATCATATCCGTTTGTCTGTTTCAGTTCAATGAAAAGGCAAGTTTTAAATTTTAAGAGATTTATTTCTTAAATTTAAACTAACGATTTGAAATGACAATCATAGGAAAAAACAATCAACATTGGCAACCTTTTTGAACAATCTTTAACAGTTGATATTTTAAGCTTGTTCAAATAGACCTTGTGTTGGATGTGCTAAGATTGAGGATGATGGAATTATGAATGCGTGCATGCAGGTGTCTGAGATTGCTTCAGGGAGAGGGAAGGTGAACTGAGTGAAAAATGATGTTTTGCAATTAAACTTTAGTTCTTATTAGAAAAACAGCATCAGAACGCTATCTGGTCGTGTTCTGCCTCACCGCACTTAGGACCCTCTTTTAGATCCGGACCAAATGGAGGATGTGTTCTCCAGATGACACCTTGGCTGACAGAGAAGACAAAGGTGTGCGACGGTCCAGTCCACAGTTGACCTCGGTACACATTGCTGAAGCGTTTCGGCAGATGCGCTTTCTCATGTTTAAATTAACTCAGAAATCAAAAGACTCTGGGAGGAGTCTGCATTAGCGGGTTGCATTTCAGCTATTCTGTCTGGCTTGACAGAAATAGCGTGGTGGGAGAACAGGAGCCTGCAGGGCTCCTTTCCCCGTGGCGTTCGTTCCGCACTTCAGCTCTCTTCCGTTCTGTCTCCTTACCGAAACCACTTCTCTTCCCAAAGCAAACTTGTTGTGCGTCAGAGCAAATGTGTTTTGAAGTTACTGTGGATCCGGACCTGTATGAGCAGGTGTGAAGGTCATCGCTAAACATCTTCAAAAACATTATTTAATTAAGTATACTGATTCATTATAGTTCATTATGATTACCCAAAGCATAATAATCATTCATTTGATTAAAATACATTTATAATGAGCAAAGTGATCAAATGATTATTTAACATTAATAAAATAAAGAAAGCTTGGTGTTCGGATGTTGTGGATTCCTTCAGACTTGCTGCCGTCTTAGGTCTTAATCTGTGGGTGAAGGTGCTGCGTGACCCAGCTTTGACCCAGCCGGGCAAATACAACCTTTGGCACAGAAACCCATACTTCCTCATGTTACAATTACGATGGACAAACTCTAGTCTGTGAGTGTGCCACGTGACACAGTCTCCTCCTGCCAGGACACAGCTCCTGCTGGTGACAAAAAGAATTGTGCCAGTTCATTCCGCACACAAACGGCATTCCTGTTTGAGCGGCTCTTGCACATCATCTTTGAGTTGACCGGTAGAAGGTTGGAGTCACCGTCCACCAATCTCCGCCAATCTCCAGGGTGCACCACTCCTGCCGAGTCACTGTCAGCGAAAGTGGGTGGGATGTATCGGCTCTCTGGTGTGTTCGCATTGTCAATGTATGCCAGGTAGTTGTGGAGAACCACACACGCCTTCACAACCTTCACCGCTTTATCTGGGTGGAACTCAATGGCCCTCCCAAGAATTCGCCAACGCGCTGCTAGGATCCCAAAGCTGTTTTCAATGACACGCCGGACTCTGGACAGGCAGTAATTGAAGATCTGCTTATCCTTCTCCAAATTATGTCCTGAAAATAAATACAGCAGCAATGAGTGTTATTAAACAGAACATAATCACAACTTAATACACATGACACACTAGTCATTTCAAATGTGATACATATGGCTAGTCGCATACCTGGAAAAGGTTGCATTATGTTGATGTGCAGGGGGAAGGCAGCATCAGCAACTAGCATGTGCGGTGCTTCAGTCCTGGTTCCAGGGAGAAACGCAGGAGGTGGCAGGTTCAACTTGTTGTTCAGGAGTGTTGAACCAAAGACACATTCTTTAAATACACCACCATCACGTTCTCGTCCATACCCACCGAAGTCCACCATCGTAAATCGATAGTTGGCATCACATGTTGCCATCAGCACAATGGAGTGAGTGCCCTTGTAGATGAAGTAGTCACTCCCAGCATTTGGTGGTGCTTTGATGGTCACATGTTGGCCATCCAGGCTCCCCACACAGTTTGGAAAGTTCCAAAGACGCCAAAAATCTGCTGCGATGGCTGCCCACTGGTTGGTAGAAGGACATGGCAGGTAATCTGGTTGGAGTGCTTCCCACAACGCGCTGCAGACCTCAGAAACAATCATCGACAGAGAATCGGACTCATGTTAAGAAGAAGAAGAAAATATCATTTCTATAGCGCCTCTCAAGATAAAAATCACGAGGCGCTGAAGCATAATTCTGCGCACACGTAGACGCATAAGAGACCTGGATGATG